CTGTGGGAATAGCACTCTGAGGAGCGGGGTTAGCAAATGAAAACAAGGCCTTATGATGGGAGCCTGGTTTGCATACTTGTGCAATACCTAGGAGACCTGTGTGGCTGATGTAGAGTGAGGGGAAGGTCAGATAACACTGAGTTTGGGGTTGGCAGAGGGATGGTAACCAAATCAAGAGTGCACTGAAAGTAAAGAAGGCCTGGTACTTTTCTCTAGTGACAAGGGGCCATTTGAGAGTTCTGACTGAGGAAATAAAGGAACTTGACTACTGTGTTAGGAGGATCACACAGGCTACTGAGTGAAGAAAAGACTGGCGAGAGGCCAGAGTGGAAGCGAGGATACTGTGATTATTCAGTGACAGGAGGCAGTGGTTTGGAACAGGGTTGTTACTATGAAGGTGCTGAAATGTAACGGAATGCTGGATTTGCTAAAAGACTGGATATGGGGTAAGAATGAGAAGAGTTCAAGATAATTCCAAAGTTTTGCACTTGAATTAGGCTGGGGATGACTGTGGGTGGAGAAGAATATTTAAAGAGAAATAATCAAGAGTTCATGTTAAGTTTGAGTTATCTACTGACATCTATGTGGAGAAAGTGAGTGGTATGACTTAGATGTGATGAGGACTACATGAGTTAAGAGTGTTTAGAACAGTTAGTAGGTGTTTAAAACCATTATTCTTCCTATTTTTATAGATACTCAACAACTGTTGAATTAGAAAAAACAATGTTTGACCAAACTCCTTCCCAAGTTTTATCTTCATTTGAAAAAAAAAAATTAATAAATCTGTTAGGAACATGTCAAAAATGTTAAGTATTTGAAATTTAACATTACAAATTAACAAAAGCTGTATTTTAACTTTCAAAAGTCATAAACAATTTTATAATAGCAAAAACATTTTAAATGCCTTCATCTACAAGTCTATGCTATTCACATAAGAGCTTTGTGAGAAGGCCTCAGAAAATGTTCACAAGGGTCTCATTTTAATGTATATATGATCATTAAAATGAGCATACAAAGATATTAAAGTTTCTTTTATATCACCAATTTAAAATAAATGATAGTTATTTTCCTTTATAAAAGTAACGTATGTTTACTGTAAGAAAGTTTGAAAATCTGATTAAAAAAAATAAGAACCCCAAATCAGCAATAGTCCTCTCACTCAAAAGGCACACTCTGCTTACAAGCTGACAAGTGAACTTACAGGGCAGAGGAGAACATCCCGTAGTGGCTCTTTATGGAAGCAGATGGCCTCCTCTTTCTACTACTTTTAGGCTAGCAAGTCTGAACAATGTCTTTTTATTTAGCAGCTGAGTGCTTCGTACCACTGTGCCAGCAAGTCTCCTCAGTCCTATCACAACCACTGTTAACTTCTGGGATACAGATCTATTTCTAGATATAATTCTTTGTTTGTATATATATACACTTTTAAATTATATTTTATTTTATAAGATGCTGTATAAAATGGCCCGCATGCATATATCATTCCATGTCAGTAAACCCAGAACTGTCCCATCATTTTCAATGCAGTCTCTGGCTTGAACGGAATTTCAATGAATCCCTGATCATCCCTACTTTGGATCACTTAGGTTGTTTCCATTGTCACTGTCATAATTTTGCCTATACACCCTTGGGAAGGTTTCAACTTTTAGGGATGCGTGTTCATTCAGTGAACTGCTTAGTTGGCTTGATTGTACTTAAGGTTTCTAACAGCTGTAGCTAGGCAACACTTCTCACAAGGTCCTCAACTAGAGCTTTACTTTTTCTTCGTACTTACCAACCTGTTTAGTCGAGAATGGCATCTTCTTGATATTTTAACTTATATTTGCTTATCACCATAGTGATATGGTGTGGGGAAAGGAGGAGTCAATGGGGAACACACCCCTGGCTGTAGTTCTTACCCTTGGATCAGTATCTTCCTCTTCCTCATCAGGGTTGTAGGACTCAGCACAGACTAAATAAAAAGAGGGAAAAGAATTGGACAGATGAAGGCTTTTTACTGGAAAATAGGAAGTAAACATAATTTCCTTTTACTTACTGTTTCCTAAAGAAAACTGCTATGACCTTTTAAATTTCTTTTTTCAATTCATAAATATATTAAAAATCCACTAATGTCAGGCATATGTTTAAGCGTTGAAAATCCAGCTCTTTACAGATTGGTGATCCCCCAAAAAGGCAGAGAGACTAAAACGTATCATTTCATAAATCTGTGGTATTGGCCAGGACAAACAAGTACATGCTGTCTCTGCTGAGTTATGAAGACAGGGGTGAAAACTACTGAGTACCATATATAAGTATAGTAATGTAAATCGGTTAAGAAAGTTCAAAGTCATCATGTGCATATATCTTACACATAAGAATAAATTTAAATGCAATATGCCTACAGAAATTGTCTGTTATAATTCAATGATTTTCAAAATACTAACTTCATCATTATTTATAATAGCAAATCACATGGGTAAGTACACATTTGAATAATGCAGCTATAAGAAAGAATGAAGGAGAGTTCTACTCTGACCACTGGGGTCATTATAATTAAGAATCTTCTCAGCAACCACCACCAGCATTATTTATGAAGTTATGTGGATACAGAATGTACATAAACCAATAGCCTTGGAGGCACTGGGGATCAGCTACCCAGCTGCTAACTACAAAGTTGGCGGTTCAAACCCACCAGCTATTCTGAAGAAGAAAGATTAGGCTATATGTTCCCATAAAGATGTGCAGTTTGTGCCCGATCTTATCCCACCACATAGAGGCAATACACTAAGGGGATGCAACAGAACAGCAAGGGAACGGAGTGGCGAGGTCCCCAGGGAATGCCGAAGGTGGACTTTGGGGCCATGACTTGGTGCCCCAACAGACTGGACTGGAAAATACTCCTAAAGGCCAACAAACAGTCCTTGAACTAACTACAAGCTTTTCTTTCTTGTGTTCTGTTTTGTTTTCTGTCATTGGTTTGTTGTTGTTTTGTTTTATATTGTTGCTTCGTTTTGCTCTGTCTTGTTTTTGTGCATGTTATTATCTCTGCAGGTCTGTCTACATAAAATAGGCTGGATGAACAATATGGAAGAGAAAACAATGGGACCGACAGTTCCAGGGGGA